AATGGTGTGGCCAGCAGGACCAGGCAGGGACTGTCCCCCTGTACTGGTGAGGCCACACCTCGAGAGCCGTGCCCACTTCTGGGTCCTTCACTGCAAGAAGGACATTGAGGGGCTGGAGCCTGGCCACAGAAGGGGCTGGTGAAGGGTCTGGAGCACAAATCTGATGAGCAGCTGAGGCAGCTGGGGGTGTTTAGCCTGGAGAAAAGATGGCCCAGGCTCTTGTCCCCCTCTACACCTCCCTGGAAGGAGGCTGTAGCCAGGTGGGGATTTGGCTTCTTCTCCCAGGGAGCAAGCGACAGGATGAAAGGAAATGGCTTCAAGCTGCACAAGGGGAAGTTTATGCTGGATATTAGGAAAAATTTATTCATGGAAATGGTGGCCAAGCATTGGAACAGGCTGCAGGGGGAAGTGGTGGAGCCACCATCCCTGGAGATATTTTTTAAAGTGTGGTGCTTAGGGACCTGGCTTAGGGATGGACTTGGCAATGTTAGACTTGCATTTGGACTCAGTGAACTTAAAACTGTTCTCCAACCTAAATGATTTTATGATTCAAGATTGGGATTTTTTTTAAGGTTAGATGACATTTTCATTTTAAAATAAAATTAAAGTAAATAAAGCATTACTGAACTGCCACATGTGGCAAGGCTGCTGGCTTGTCAGCAGTTTTTCAATTTGAGCTCTTTTTTTTTGTCCCAGTCTAATGGTTCCATTTATTGCAAATTTTTAAAGTTTTGTATGGGTTGGCATTTTGGAGCCAATTGCCTCTTGATTGTAAAGTAATAATATGCACAAATTAAGGAAAAGATGGCACTAAAAATTTTGGGCCTTGTTCCAGAAACTCTTGTCTCACATTTCTTAAATAGTGAGTAACTGTAGCAACTGTAGCAGGTACAGAGATGCCTGCCTTTTTGCTTTTGCTTTTTCTAAATCCCTTTTATACTCACCCACATTACTCTTCATTCTCTGCAGTGATTTATCCATGCATTGTTAACCAACTTTATTTCCCAACACCTCTGCCTACTCTTATGTTCCATAGTAACTTTTGCAATTATGCAAGTCAGCTATCTTATTGCATCCTTGGAGGTACATGACAATTGTGTTTTAAGAAATTGCCTTCATACAGCATTGTGTAAATGACATAATATTGTGCTCTTTTTGCTACCTTGGTATTATTTTAATTAAAAACAGTAGTAATATAACATCTGCATTTCCACTTCAGTAAACAAAATTGCCCTAAAGTTATAAATGAATATTAAAAATTTTATCACAAATATTGGTGTCCAAGAAATATATGAATATTGATATAAAGGAGTTTATTAGAACAACTGCTGCATGAAATGGGGGACATATGGGTGTTTTTAAAAATGCTTGCACAGATTCCTCAGATCCTGTCAGATGCTCCAGATGGAACAGGATAACCTAGCAAAGGGAAGCAAGCCCATTTAATTCCAGGAATTAAAAAAGATATAGCAAAGCACACACAGGAGTGTTGTGTGTTTCACTTGTGTGCTTTTCTATCCTAAAGAAACTAGCAGGGACCTATAGTAGATCAAATTGTTTTAGACTGAACCTGTCTAGCTAAAGGAGGCTTTAAAGTACTGAAATCCTGAAGTATCTGTATGCAGATACACGTGGGAAAAAAACCTCTACCTTCAAATCTGAGCAACAAAATTTTAAAAGAAACAGCATTATCTTTTTATTTGGTGAGTTTCTGAAGCTGATTCAGGTTGGAACCTCCTTTGCAGAATGACACTTGGCAGCAGATCTGGCATTTCTTGTCTTCCTATTGGACAAGGAAAAACTGTAAATCATCCCACTGCTTTCCCACAGAGTATTTTTTGCAATCCTGCATTGTTGATACTAACTACTAACTACAGAGATGGGTTAACCTTTGTCTTTAGTCAAGTCTGCTGTAAGTCTCCCATTTAAAATCAGACATCACCTTGATGTTTGCTATTTTGAAACCTACCCACCTACCTGTTAGTTCAAAGGCTGGAATGGAAACTGGCTTAGAGACTTTGAATTTTGTTCTCTTTTTGTTCAGAGAGCTAGAGTGAAACTGCATACAGAATTCTTCAGCTTGTCAAACAGACCTCTCCCAAGAAAAAACTACTTGAAGCTACCATTGTCATATTTAATGCAAACAAAAAGAGGAAAAAAAAACCCTAGGTTTGCCGCCTTTTGATAGCCCTCTGCTCATTTCTTGTCCTTCTGTAATTCTTAAACCCTTATTTCTGTCTTGTGTAAGCTGCAATTTACATGAGTTGTCTTACTGCAGCAGTGTGTTTTAAAGAAACACAGCTGACATTGAAAGAGCAGGTGAAATCTTGAGAGTTGTGGATTGATAAACAGGGTAGGTCTGCCCAATTTGGAGTAATGTTTCAGTCATCAAGAGGAGACAGGGCACTCAGCACTGCATGCAGGCTTGTGCTTGCCAAGCCTCTGCCTAACTACGCAATGAAGGTCTTATCAAATACATACGGTCCAAGGAGGCTTGTGCAGTCCCAGTTCTTAACAAATGGTTGAGTTAGAATCATAGGTTTCTAAATTGCCATGTTTTCTGGGAGATAACATGGAGAGGGAGAGTGGGTAAGTGAGAGAAACATCTGAAGCAAAGGGATAAAGAAAGCAGGCTGAGGATCCCAGCCAGCCCTGCAAGCTATGTCAGGATCCCTCTGCAAATCTGCAGACTTCTTACAGCCTCCTGTCACTGAATAATTTTAGAAGTCTGGAAAAAAAAATTTGTTTACTTCAAATTAGGGGGAAAATATCTAATGTTTACTGTTGCAATGTTTTTTCAAAACTTTTGCAAGAGAGAAAAAGAGAATGGAAGACCAAAACCAGTGGCCTCAAAGAAGACTTTGCTCCAACAATTGGTGGCAGAAGAGAAAAATTGAGCATAAGAGCAAAGTAGCTCAGAGGAGTTCCACAGTATTGTGAGCACAGATGGAAATTATCCTGGTGTGTAGGAAGGAGAAGAAGGTAGTAGAGACAGCTTGACTGATGATGTTCAGTGACCTCATACACAAGAAACTGGTTTTGCAGGGTTGCTCTGTAAATCAGATCAACAAAATTATCTGAATTAAAAAGGAGCACAAAAAAGTCTTTGTCCTTCCCTCCCCCACTCTTTGTTTTTTGTTAGACTGAGTTGTTTCACTGACACAGCTGATGGTGTAGGCCTACAAACAACTGCTTCAGCGCTGCTCAAGGAGTTGATACTGATGCTTGGAGGAGAGGATCTGCTGCCTTGGAGATGAGATGTTTAGCATATATTCAGAAAGGTCATTACTCTTCAATACAATCTGAGATGGGAAAAGACTGGCTAGGCAGCAGTGATTTGAAAAAGCCTCTGAGGTGGAACAGATCATGACCTATAGGTGCAGCAACAATGTGACACTTGCAAAAGAAAAAAGACGGCAAGTGTTTGTGTCATGTAGAAACAGATGCAAATTCCAGCATATCACATAACCTTCTCAATCAGTTTCACACTGACAGGGCGAATGTGGGGTCTAGTACTGGACATTATGTTACCAAAAAAATGTAAACCAGCTGAAGTTCAGAAGAGAACAGGAGAAATGTACGTTCAAAGTGACCTGTAAGGAAAAAATATAAAAGGAATCTTTTTAATAAAGACTAAGAAGATGCATAGCAGCTTCCAGCTGTGCAGCATCTTTTTATACACTCCTCAGGAATTAAATCTTTTGCCAATGTCCTCAAGAAATGGGAGAAATAGTACGGGGCTAAAACTACAAAGATCTGAAGATCTAGCTTCTTGTCTCCATCCATATTTATAACAAGTGCAGGAGGAGATTGCCTGAGGAACAGTATGAAAGCGTCTATCACCGGAGGATTTTAAACAGGTTAGACAGGCTTCTGTTGGGAACAATTAAATATGGTAGGTGCTCCCTGGGAAAATGGGCCAGTGAGCAGGATTCACGAGGCTGCTTCCCTTTGCGTGACTTGCTGCAAGCCTCTGGAATTCAGGTGAGCAGCCTGGCCATGAAAAACACAGAAAACGTGGCCTCATCACTCCATGCAGTCATGGATGCTCCATACTGAAGTTTGTCTGCAGGACCACTGGTTCCCCCTGCTGCAACAGGAACTTGACATGTTGTGTGGTTCTGCTTCTGTCTGTTGTTGAGCATAACATAAATATTTGCTGCAATTGTGGGGGAGTAAAATTCTATTTACTTCCAGGCCATTATATTTCTCTTTTTTATTAGTAACAGTCTTCTGACCACCTGTATTACCTGTGCTGAAATGCCTACAGAGCCACGCTCATCATGAGAGAGGATGTCTGCTTTGGGACCAAACAGTGGTGACCCAGAGGAGGACCAACAAGTTGATCAGAGGGATGGAGCACCTCTCCTATGAGGAAAGGCTGAGAGGACTGGGATTGTTCAACCAGGAAGAGTAAAAACTTCAGCATGACCTAACTGCAGCCTGGGGCAAGGCTATTTACAAGGCCATGTAGTGACAGGAAAAGAGAGAATGGGTGCAAATGGAAAGAGCAGATTTACATTAGATATTAGGGGAAAACCCTTTCCTGTAGGAGAGATGAGGCTCTGGAACAGGTTGCTCAGAGGGGTTGTGGATGTCACGTCCCTGAAAGCGTTCAAGGCCAGGTTGGATGAGGCTTTGAGCAACCTGGTCGAGTAAAAAGCGTCCTTGCCCATGGCAGGGAGGGTGAAACGAGTTGATCTTTAAATCCCTTCCAACCCGAACCACTTTGTGACTCTGCAGGGCCTCTCCCTGTAGAGGTGGCTGACGCCGCTGGGCTGCGGGCCCCCTGGCCGTACCCTGGCACACTTCAGCTCCCCCGGTCCGTTAAACGCCCCGGGAGGCTGCGGCTCCCCCCGGCCGCCTCAGGCCGAGCCAAGGCCCGGCACGGGCCGGGGCAGCGCCGCTGCCCGGGGAGGCCCGGCGGGCCGGGTGTGCGGGAAGGGCTGAGGAGCAAAGCGGGGCTCGCCCCGGCGCCGCGCCGGCGACGAGGGGGCTCGCCCCGGGCGGAGCGGGGTCGGTGACGGCGGTCTCCGGTGCGCAGGGAAGGCGGCGCCCGGGGAGGAGGTCGGCGTGCTGCTCTGCGATGTGGGCGACGCGGGCTCGCTGGCCGCCATGGCGAAGCAGACCCGGGTGGTGCTGAACTGCGTGGGCCCGGTGAGTGCGGGGATGCGGGCGGGCGCTGCCCCCGCGCGGGATCCTCCCCGGGGCCGCGCCCCGGCTGCGGGCGGGCACGCAGAGCCGCCGCGGCCCCGCCGGCACAGCGCAGCTCCTGGAGCTCGACCCCGGAGTTCCAAGTACAGCTGTGCACTGCAGGGACCGAAGGGTTTCCCACCGCCGTCGCAGGTGGTGCCGTTCACTGAAAATGCACTGAAATACAGCGGAGTTGGTTTTCAGTCTTTCACAGGCAGCCTAAGATACTGATGGTAAAGGTTGGGCCACAATGTCAGTGGTGCTAGGGTTAAGCACGGAGCTGGAAAAGGGGCCCACAGGCTTGCTGCCAGGACTTCTTGGCCCTTTTAAAACAGAGTGGCAGTAATTCCAGTGCATTCAGAAAGCATCAAAGTGTGTGAGGTGGATGTTGGGTCATGACCATGTCTTGGAAATTCAGTGTTTAAGTAGAGAATATGCTGATAAGAGTGCAGAAGGTGTAAAGTGAAATTAGTGGTGGTATCCAGTTGATGTTGGTGATCTGATTTCATGAGAGAAATCAGGTGCAGCAGTCTGCAGCAAGGTCCATTGGCAACAGTGAAGTTTATGTTTTCTCCCCACACTCTCAAGAAATAGAAGTGCTCTTGCATTTTAGCCCCACTTAGAAAAATCAATAGCCACCAGGTTCACTTTTATTGCAGAGATATACTTTAGGTAAAGCACACTGGGTGAGTTGTGGCGTGTGGCTTTTCTTTTTTTACATCTGGTGTTCTTTCCTTCTATAGTATAGATTCTTTGGAGAACCTGTGGTAGAAGCTTGTGTTGAAAATGGTGCAAGCTGCATTGACATTAGTGGAGAACCCCAGGTATGTGATGGTAAAAAACCTTTACCTTATATCAAGGCTTTGCAAAAGGAATGTTTATTTAGTTTGTTTCCTGCTTCTGCTTATGTTCCTGAACATGAAGACAAATTCTCCTTCCTGATCTACAATTTCAAGATGCAGTCATTATTTTAAAGCACATTATACTTGGTTGTATAATTTTCTTGCTTTTAAGACAGGAGCCTATTTGGGTGTTGGTGGAGGTCCCAAATTGCTGAATCTGCTTCAAGCCTCTGTTATGATACTACATAGGAATTTTGTACTTTTCACTGCTGAGAATCTTTCATACTACAGACCAGGAATGGTATATATTTGTCAAAGATACTTGCAAGTGGTTTGAAGCATGGAGGGTGCTATGATGTGACAGTGAAGCACTGATGGCTAATATTGGCTATGGCCAAGAATGAATTTCAGCTTAAAATACTTGTTCTGGCTGTGTTTCAGTTTCTGGAAGGAATGTACCTGAAATACAACGAGAAAGCTGCAGAAAAGGGAGTATATGTCGTTGGAAGCTGTGGCTTTGACTCCATACCGGCGGATATGGGAGTGCTGTACACCAGAGACAAGCTGAAAGGTGACTGGAATAAGTATATTTTTATGGTGGAAAAAGAATGCAGATTGTGCTCTCATCCAGTATCCTAAAGCAGCAGTGTCCTGTGGGAACTCTTTCAGTGTCTCTTTTGCCTGCCTTTATCAGGTGACCAATTTCAAGCAAATGTGGTAGAGAGAAATTTGCAGTCATGTTCCCCTTGGATGGGTCATGGGGTAGGGGAGGATTCGTGGTGACGTTGCTCACTGAGAGGCTCCTGTGATGAGCCCAGGTCAGAGCAGGGTGCTAACAACACTGAGGTGGTGGGTTCCATCCCCACGAGGGCCATGCACTCGATGATGCTCATGGGTCCCCTCCAACTCGGAACATTCCATGAATCTGAGAGGACAGAAAGCTCAGCTGTGAGCAGCAGGCTGCTCAGCCAGTGTGTGGATGTCCCTAGGCAGCCTCAGCACAATTGCCTCTTGTGCAGTGAGAATCTTGTAGGGAAGAGACAGTGAGAAGGGGTCCACAGACTGAGGGGTAATCAGGTTTCCCAAGTTTCCTTTTTCAACTGCAAGCTCTGAGAAGCTGCTTTGTGAGTGTAAGTAGCATTTTACTTTAATAGCAGCTAGAGGGTAACTGAAAGAGAAATATATTTAAGAAAATATGTGAGAGGATTTAATTCTATGTAAATAGTACTTGATCCTGATCCCAGATGAGGATACTCTGTTCATCAGGTCTGACTTTCAGTTGGGAGGGCCCATAAGAGTATCCAAATGTTTTGCTTTTATGGACTATTAAAAAGGCTGCTAAAGGGGATCGGTTTACATTGGAGTCAGCATTCAGTTGAAGAAAATTCAGATGTGACTGGAGGAGAAACAAGGTATGGAAATAAGTATGTGGATGTTCATGAGGTTGTAATTTGGTGTTTGATACCTGTTTTGAATAGATGTCTTTTATCTCTTCTTATTTTGACTTTATGGCGTTACCTCTGTCTTCCCAGTTGCTTGCTATATTGAAATTTATCCATACAAATACTGTTTTCCAGTCTCAGAAGGAACTAAGCAAAGCAAACAAATCAGAATTTGGAGGCATTGTGATGTTCTGCTGTTCATGAAACTAAACATTCTTTGAAGAACACTATCTTAAGCTATGCTAAAATTAAATATTTTCTGTGTTTTTGTAGTTTTGAGGGGGTTGTGTGTTGTTTTGTTTTGGTGGTGGGTTTTTTGTAGTTTGGTTGTACCAAAATCTTTAAGTTCATGTTTCCTTTCACAGCCAACATCTTCCTTTATTTTGAAACTTGGAGGAAAACTGAATGTGGCTCTCAGTATTACTTTATTTTTTTTTCAATGAATTTTTTACATTATCTCATTAATTAAATAAATGAAAAAATTTAATGAATAGAAGTAATACTAGTGACCTGTATTGAAGTAATTCACACAAGAAATGTAATACTTGCTAACTCAAATAGCTGTGCATCTTAAGGTTACATTATTTTGCTTTATGATAAAGATGTAACTCTGCTTTTTCAGCTGCTAATGTCAGTGGCCTGCTGTTTTGAGTCTACCAGAGCATTCTCTGGCTTTGTAGACTAATGACTGCATGTGCCAAGTAACATTTTCCCCTCCCTTACAGGTACCTTAACTGCTGTTGAGAGTTTCCTGTCGGTGAAATCTGGGCCTGAGGTTAGTTGGCTTCTTCCTTCCTGAAACTCAGGAGTATTTATGATAACATCACCATAGCCTGTCACAATAACTGTTGCTACATGAAGTCAGACCAAGGAGCAAGCTGGCAGGGCTTTGATGATAAGTCTAAGAACTTTATTCTTTAGGAGCTTTTAAAAGTATCCTAAGCAAACACCCTTTTGTAAGGTCTGTTTGCAGAGCTGTCTACCTACACTTTGCTCTGGTAACCTGTTCCAAGAACTATTTTGCTTTTGCAGAGATGTGGGAAGGATTCTTACACAAGTGAAACTGTAACAGGTCCAGAGTGTATTGCCAGTAATCCTAGTGCTAGGTTGTTTGGATTTTTTGTTTGTTAGTGGGGGGAAGATTGTTTCGATATACTTGAATGCATGTAATGATAATACCTATGGGTAATTGTAATAATGTGTAATATATGTAATAATTCTAATGCTGTTAAAACAATGCAACAATGATCCAAGTCAGTCTTGTGCCCAACAACCAAACCCTACTGCTCCTGGCATGAGCATCCATCTTGCCTTACAAACCATTTTTGTTCTGAAAAACATCTGGAGGAGTGGAGGAAGCCCATGGAATGGGAGACTAGTATCTGTTAAGCAACAGGGGATAGTAGTTAATGGGAATGTATTAATCTGTATGTTGGATATGAGGACATATATTTAAATATATAGCATAAGTTCAAAGTGTTGGTAAGAAGGGATTTCAGTAATGAGAATTAACTACACTGAGATGGTTAGAACAGCTACAGGTATTTATTAAATTCTGTGGGTCCTGAGTGTGTTGCAGATCATGTGGAAAGAGGGGTGGATATCGTGTCAGGCCTGGCTGATCTGGAGTTCATTTCCCCACAGCAGCCCTCACAGTGCTGAGCTTTGTGTGGCAGCTACAGAGGAGTCAGTAACACAGCAGGGTTCTGGCTACTGCTGAGCAGTGCTGGCACAGCACTAAGGCTGTCTCTGCAGCATTTCCCCCTCACCTCACAGGCTGGCAGGATGCTGGGAGGGGACACAGCCCGCACAGCTGCCCCAAACTGACCAAAGGGATGTTCCGTACTGTGTGAGCTCTGCTCAGCAATAAAGGCTAAGGGAAAGGAGGAGAGGGGTGGGGAGGCATTTGTTACTATTACACCTTTGCTTCCATTTGCAGCTTTTGCTTTATTAAATCACCTTTATCTTTACACACAAGGGATTTTTCCATCTTAGTTTCTCCTCTCCCTATCTTAGCTAGAAGGAGAGTTATGAAGTGTCTTGGTAAGCACCTGGCATCCAGCCAAGGTCAACCCACACCATTTCAATACACTATCGTAATAACATTTATATGTAATAATTGTAATACATGTAGTGATTCTAATATTATTAAAATAATCCATGAAACCTTTAAATACTGAACTAATTATTGTTTCATGGTATGTCACAAGGGTCTTGGTGTACATGATGGGACCTGGAAATCAGCTGTCTATGGCCTTGCAGATGAAGCCAGCCTGAAGAAGCTTCGAAAACAGATAGGATATGCCCCTGTTCCAGTAGTTGGTGCAAAGCTTAAAAAAAGGTACAAGCATAAATGTGGACTATACAGTCTCCTAACAGTTCCAGTATTTATGATACAGATTGCTACAGTATTAAATAGTAAAAAGATGTAGTTAGGACTTCAGTATAGTATGAACATATAGATGCTCATCTAGGTAGAATTGAAGTTCAGTTTTACAGACTTGTTCATATTTTCCTGAAAAGAGAACATGTCCCAGCATTTACTGGGTCTCAAAATTAATGCATTCTAAAGGACTTCTGGTGACATGGGAAACTTTTGATTTCAGAAGTGATTAATAGAATGGAGGGGAAAAAATGCAAAGGCTATTATATTGATTATCAAATTCATCCTTGATATAGTGCATATAGTGAATTATATATAGTGAATTTTAAGTGAGCCAAGGATATATTCAGAATTGCTTGCGTTCAGTGAAAAGAGATAATGTCAGAAAAATTCTTGTGAGAAAACTGGTAATGGTAAGGCCATTATGGTCAGTTTCTTTCAGTTTGTGTGAAGATTGGAACATTTCTTTTCTGACTTAATTTTTTTTCATTTGCAGAGGATTTATGTTTTACAGTCCAGAATTCAAGGAGTACTGCATTACATTCATGGGATCTGATGGCTCTGTGGTGAAAAGAACTCAGCGTTATTTGCACACCGAGTTGCAGCAAACACCTGTAAGTTACTGTTAGTTGTGCGCTGGCCTGTTTCATGCTACTTGAGACTGTGGCTGATGAGCCTGCCTTTGGTAACATGATACTTATGAGATTGTCATGTCAGGTTCTCCTGCTGTCTGATTTCTGGGTATGTATTTGTAGGGAATGGAAACATTGAGTCACAGGAATATTTGCAACGTAACCTTCATGATAAATATATTCAATGCTGCTTCTGTGCAGAGACTTTTCTTGTTGTATCAACAGAGCTTCTAAAAGCATCATAATTGTACTCAATGGTAGCTATAGCCAGCTCAGTACAGTGTAGTAAATATCCTGATACAGAATTCATATGTTGCTCAGGTATATCTTAAGATTTCTTTGATGCTTGGGTCTCCAGTGTGCAGAGTAAAGGCAGTGTGAAGTAATGGTGTGGAAAAGATGATTAATTTTTTTCTGTGGTTTCCTAAGAGGAGATGAGCACCAACAATCTGTGTAACTGCTGTGCAGAATCACAGGCATCAGTTAAGCAATGAGGGTGAGGCAATGCTTTAAAAATGCACTTGGAAGCTACAAATTAGAGAGGCTTGCCATTGCTATTTCAGTTTCTCTTAAAAAAAAAAGCATAAGGAGGAGAAAAGGAAGATCTAGGAAAGAAGGCTGAGGTTCAATGAAAAGCACATCTTTGTGTAAAGTTTTGTGTTCTTGTGTCCCATGTCTGCTCCTCTTCACTCCGTAGTTACACTGTCTTCCTAGAATGAATGATAAAGTGAAGCATTCTTCAAACAGTTCCTCAGAACTAAGATAATTTTTTAAGGCCTGTTTAAACCAATGCATGTTGTGCAAAATAACTGCATCTTACTTAGGGGGTAGATTAATTTTTTTCCATCAATTGATTTTTATAAAACAATGTAAATCCTATCACTGAAAATACATTCTTGCTTCAGGTCCAGTATGGCGCTTACGCGACTGTAGGTGGTCTTGGCTCTGTTATCAAGCTGATGTTTCTGGGCATGTTATTTTTTCTTCTGGTGAAGTTTAACTTTGGAAGAAAACTTCTGACAAAAGTAAGTTTTCAAAACACAAAATATATATAATTTAGTGTTTGGAGATATCTTTTTTCTCTCTCTTATTTACTGTTGGTCTTTTTTTGTCTTTTTCTACTTTTTTTTTCTCTCCTCTATCCATACAGTACCCAGAATTTTTCTCTGCTGGACGCTTCACAAAGAAAGGACCAACCCAGAAGCAGGTAACTGACTGTTTTCTACCACAGTTATAGAGTACATTTATTGTGGTAATGGTGGAATATTAATTTAGAGTCAACTGCTTAGCCTCAAAGAAATAATTTCTAAATGAATCACAGAATATTCTGAGTTAAAAGAGATCCACAGGGCTCATCAAAGTCCAGCTCCTGGCCCTGCACAGGACACCCCAAGAGTCACACCATGTGCCTGCGAGCACTGTCCAAGCAATTCTTGAACTTTGTCAGGCTGTTGCTGTGACCACTGCCCTGGGGAGCTGTTCCAGTGCCCAAACACCCTCAGGGTGAAGAAACTTCCTGATATCCAGTCTAAACCTCCCTGACACAACTTCAGGCCATTCCCTTGGATCCTGTCACTGGATACCACAGAGATCAGTGCCTGCCCCTCCTCTTCCTCTAAGAAGGAAGGTGTAACTGCAGTGAGGTCTCCCCTCAGTCTCCTCTTCTCCAGGCTGATCAGACCAAGAAACCTCAGCCTCCATTCATACAGCTTCCCCCCTTTATCCAAATGCATGTTGTGTGCCTGTTTAGATAGTTACTGGATATATAAATAACTATGCCTTCTGCTTTTAGACATCAAAGTGTGTGTAACTCCTATGAGGAATAAATGGATAATGTTGCTGGGCCTGAGGTATTCCCATGGATGGCTCAGAGCACTCTATCAAAGGTGATGACCAAAGGAGAGACTAATTAGCAAAAAACCCAGGACTGAAAATACTGAGAGAACAAACAGACTTTAGTACAAGGCCAGTGCAACAAAGTGGAAGCAATTAAAAACTCAGATTATACCTTTTAAGCAGTAATTAAAAAAAATTTCTTTAATGTTTAAATGGATTATAGTATTTGGCAGGATTCTATATATAGTATTTGAATACTTTTATTTACTACTTGTGCTTTCCTAGTAGCAGTCAGTTTCTCTTTTGGTGACCATGCTTGTCTTGTCCACTGCAGATGGATGGAACCTCTTTTACAATGACTTTTTTTGGTGAGGGTTACAGTGAGGGACAAGATCCCCAGAATGCCAAACCAAATGTGAAGATCTGCACTGAAGTGAAAGGACCAGGTATGTATTTTGCCTAGCATTCCCTGCTCTAAAATATGTTTCTGATTTCACTGCTGTCCCTTTCACCCTTGAGAAGCACTTCCAACAGCAACAAAGCCAACAGCCACAACAGTGTATTGACATGGATATTAGAATTCATTGTGCTCTGGTTTTTGAAATAGCCAGTTCACTTGCATTCTTGTCAATCTCCTTCTTCTGACTTTCCCTGGTCTGATTTTCATTTTGCAGAGCAGACCTTTTGAAGGAAGAGGGCTTTAAGAGTAGTTTTCAGTTGTTACAGCCTGGACATAGTACTTTGTTTATTTCCAGTTCCCAGAGAGTGAACTTAAACAGGTCCAGTGTGGTATAATTTCTGACTATTACATACTTTTGTTCACATCATTCCTTGAGGGGAGATGGCATTTGAAGTTTGGAGAGAGCAAGAATGTACATTCAGAAATGAGTTACTGTAGCATAGCTTCTTTAAATAACTAGAGATGTGGCAGAATGCAAGTGTTGCCTGGTTAAATTCTGAATTGAAGTACAGGATGGGGAAAGCTCTTGCTGTGTGAGAAAGCCCTCTGTCACCATGATGTGGTCACTCACAGTTGTGTGGTTAGAGGCCATTATGTGAAGCAGTGTTTGTTTGGATTACATCTTAAGGATTTCATCAGCTACTTGGTCTGATTACTGGGTAAAAAAAGCTGTTCTTAAATGGGAAAGGCTGTTTCATTGCCAAAGAAATTATTCTCCAGAATGCTGTAGGGAAGAGCAAGATTACATTCTACATTTCAACGCACCGTATTTCATTGGGGGGTTTTGGTTTGGTTTGTTTTTTTGTCAGAGCCTGGATATGTTGCTACACCAATTGCAATGGTTCAAGCAGCTCTGTCTCTTCTGGAAGATGCATCTTCTCTGCCTAAACGGTAAATACCTTCCCATGCTGAGCAGCTTCCTCTCCCTTAAAGCTACTGTGTGCAAATGTTTCTCTTTGAAAATACACTTAATCAGCTCTATGGATTTTTGTTACCTCACCCAACTGACTGTGCAAGCTGATTTAAAACCACTTGCTCTTCACCAGGCAATCAGTTTGAAAGGATGTAGTCACAGGCTTTTAGTCAGGCCTTTGCATCAGTGTCTATGTATGCAGTTAATGGGGTGGTTTCTGTAAAGCTTGCTGCATGCAGAAATGAACCTATGATTATAACCACCCTGTCAAATTCCTCACCCACTCCCTTCTCGGACTAAGTGGCTTTTTCTTTCTTAGTCAGGGAGGCACATCTCTAGCTTCACAAAAACGTGTCCCTCACTCACTGTGCCCCTAATGTTTCTCCTTTTTGATTTTCACTAACAGGGGTGGTGTATATTCTCCAGGAGCTGCCTTCTCGAAAACAAAATTGATTGATCGTCTCAACAAGCGTGGTGTTGAGTTCTCTGTTATTAGCAAGCCTGAAGTCTGAAGTCAGAACATAACTGTATGAACTAAAATCTTTATTGGGTCTAATAAAACCCATTTGGCTGCAATAGCCTAATCATAAAACAGTTTCACTATGCTATTGTTTGCAGCAGATACAGAAGAAAATTCGAGTTAAAAGCTATAATAGTATTTGCTATAGTAGGCAAACCCCTGAAGGGTGGGTATTGAGTGTTAATTCACAGACATATTAAATTGGTAACTTCTTGGGTACTAATTTGGGAATCTTAATCTCATTACCTAAGTTCAAGTTCCTACTTCATGGATCCACTATAGCATCTGCTTCACAAGTAAGCATAGCTGCCTTGCTTTGCCCCATTCTGCAACTACATAAAGCAGGCAGCCTGGAAACAGAAGTGCCTTAGCAAATAAGCTACTAGTTATTCCTAATGTGTGTTTGGTATATGTCTTTATTAACATCTTCAATTAATCTTTATTTAATAATCATTCTAAGTGCAGATCTATGTGTAGTTTGTAGTTAGGTAAGTAGTCATGAACTGTATTGTGCTTTTGCTTCTGTAAAGAAGGAGGCGTGTTCTGTTGATTGTTTTTGGAATCTGACCTGATGTGATCCAGGTTCTGGGCACACTGGCCTGTTTCACACTACTTGATACTGTGGTTGATGAGCCTGATTTTTGCTGTTAGCCTAAGAATTATAAGAGTGTCTTATCCTGCTGTCTCATTTCTGGATTTATATTTGTGGGCAATGGAAGCCTTGAGTCACGGGAATATTTGAAAGGTAGCCTTCATGATTTTCAGGAGTGTCAATACATTAAATTCTGTTTCTGTGTACAGGCTTTTTTTGTTGTATCAGTAGAACTTGTAAAAACTATGAAAGTTACTCTGAGATATATAAAGGTCATAAAGTCTCTATCTCCCACAGCTGCATCACATTGACCTTTATTATTCTGAGGCAAATCATGTACAAATTGATGCTTTATAGTATCATAGCTGTATTGAAGATTGCTTTATCAATGTAGTTCACTATATGGTGGGTTTTTAGGCTGCTTCTTAAGTTTATGCTGTCACTGCACTGTCTTCAATAACCTAAAGTTAAAAAATGTCTGTTAATGCTTTTATTCAGTAGCAACCAGTAATTTCACACTGAGCTAGAAGAAATTAAAGACACTGAAAAGCTGCTTTTCCCTTCCACTCACCCCTGAATGTGAAATATGCGTACACATTCTCTACTACCTTACAGCTGCAAGTTTATGTATTTGAGGCACAGGGATCAGAGCAGTCCCTGTGTGCAAGTCACATGCTCTGTTTCTGATATTTCTGTTCAGAACTGACCATTTGCCACTGCCCATGACCAGGAGCAGTTTTCCAATACAAGGTGTGTATGCAACCAGAGGTGCCCATAACATTGCAGTGTCCTCTGCACTGCTCCACAGCCAGAGTGCCCCACTGCCTCTGACAGGGTAAAGTACAATTGGGTCCCCAGTGCTTAAATGGGAATGCTTAAAGCTTCAGTCGTGACAAAAGAAAGGTTACTTTTCAAATTTCCTGAAGAAACAAGAATATAGCATCTTGTTGTCTACAGTCTTCTATCCAAGTAATTTTTGCAATTTCTACGCTGCTCTTTTAAAAGGCACAAAACATTATTCTACAAGGCAGCATTTTCAATTACTGTATTCCAGATACCAGTCAACAGGGCAACAGCCACAGCTTATTTCTGCACTAATTAATCAGTCTGCACACAAGATGAAGGGATAGTGCTGTAAACATACCTACATAGCTTCATGTAGCAGTGTTCAGGTCTTCCTGGCTCAGAAATGTTTTATAGTATTGAAGGAGTTAAAAAGGAGAAGGATGAAGCTAGTTCAATAGTATACATGATATTTCATAACAAGACAAAGGTTATAATTTAGGGAGAGGGCAGTGATTTCATTCAGGTAGGCAAAGGCAGAAAGGTCAGAAGCAAGGGGCCATGTAAGTTGTTACTGCCTTGCATGGTAACAGTTTGATGGCAGTGACTGGAAATACAGTTGAACACAACTGATAAGCAAAACTGCAGCAGAGTCGTCACTGAATCTGACAGAGACTGACATTGCTCAGTTGTCATTCATGGGACTGGATTAAGAGTTTGAAGAACAGTTCTTGATAGTAGAAATGCACATAAAACTACACAAAACTACTTGGCACTTAAATTATGACATGGTTAAGCCACAAATTGCATCTTTAGGCAGATTGAAAGTCCAGGTTGATTGAAAATTCAGTATAGATTGAAAAGTCCGGGTTGAACTTTGTTCCATGCAATAAAAACAAGAATATTTCTCAAAGCTGTGGGACAAGGTAACTACTTCAATTAAGTGAAAACTAAACCTCCCATCTGTTCCCATTTTACTGCTTCGAAAAGGACGGTGTGTACAATAACTACTTGCATGCTAAAAATACCTCACAATTTGAACCCAGGGGTTTCCTTTTAAACAAAGCCCACAAGCTTCTGGTTTGGTTGGTTGCTACTGACTTTTTAAAATACAAACCTTGACCACAGGAGCAGTTTCCAGTACATTCAGCTCTGATGCTTTTGGCAGATTGTTTTGGGAGCTGGAGCAATGTGTATTTGATCTCAGGGGGCTGGATGTAGAAGCTCTGCATGGGGACTGCCAGCTCTCATCCTGTGCCACAGAGCGGGAAGGAACAGGACGAACCACCAAATCCAGCAACCTGTTAAAATACTCATTTTACACTAGGAACATGAATAAATGAATGAAAAAAACATGCTGTGATGCTGACAACATGAACACTCAGTGAACAAGAAATACAGGTGACTCCTCACTGCTGGGGTGATGCATTAGGCCCACATGGAAGTGACAGGCACTTCTTTGTGTTCGTATGTCAAATCCATACACCGAGAGCTTGGTGGTAGTCAAAGCTTTCGTTTCAGCTATCAAACTTTGTAAGCACATTTCTCATAATGTAAATACATGTGTTTGCCTAAATAAGATTAAAAAAGCCTAAAAAGCAGAATATGTTTCTCCAAATATTACTTATGATGAATTGTGTCTCAAATGTTGTATATTTTATGTGCAAAAAAGCAAAACATAGCTGTATTCTTATGTACCTTCCCATCAAGACACATAATTCAAACAGATTTCTCTCCTCCTTTTTCTGTCTCCCCTCAAACACATGGAACAAGGCTAAACTTTGTGAAAAGGCTGCTTACTTATTATATTCTGAGAAATTGGTTGTCTTGTTTCCTAGCCATGCTTCTTTAAATCTGGATAGTACTTTAGTGATTAAACTTGTTCTTGTATGCACATTTCCTGCATTAGCCTGCCTTGTTGCTGTTGATAATGGCTTTGGCTGTGGGAGTGGAAAGCAAGAGGGAGAAGAATCAGCCTTGTGTAATCCAAGTGGTGCCTGGCTGCACATCCTATTTCCCTTCTCTAAAATTACCTTCTCTTAGGACCGATGAAGGCAAACGGTACGGCTTGGCTCTCTCTACTGCCAGCTTCCTCTGAACTGTGGGGAGGATCTTGATATAGTGGTCTAACAGAGAATTTCTGGTAACTGCTCTCTCTCTCAAGCGAGGATCACGATCATTCTGACAAAGGAAATGTGTAAAGCAAGAGGTTAACAATTCACCAGAAGTTCACTGCACAGAACTCTGCTCTCTCCAACTAAGGCCTAAATTTGCTCAACAGACAAAGGAGAACAAATTCCACTGCACAGAACCACAGCAAGTTCCACCCAGGAGCATGCACCAAATTCACCTGGTAGTTCTGGATAAGTGCAAGGAAGATTGGAATAAAAGCAGAACATAAAATTCCTAGTTAAAAGGACCCTGGCGCTTTGCAAAGCCTTATTCTTGCATACTTCATAACACCTGCAATTTTCAAATGGCTTTGAAAGAGCAGGTTTTCCCCTGGTTGAGCAGGCTTGCCCTTGGTTGTCATGAAATAAAAATATCTGAGATTACTGAATACACAGGGCAACTGCAAATTATGTTGGACAAAATGATGGGAAAATTAAAACAAGTTAAGAAAATCTACCTACACACACCTGTCTGGAACAGTTTTCACATACAGTTTTCACACACTTAAACCTTCCAAGACTACCTTTTAAGTTTGATTTACTGGAAAAATACACTTTCGAAAGACAACACATGCATCAGAGATCACTAATAAAAGTTCATATCATGCAAAATTTTATCTGGATATTTTGAGAAACATAGGTTAGAATTTATGTCATAAAATTGCTAGCATGGAACTCCTGGAATCAGAGAGCTTGGCTATAATTTGAGAAAATAACCCAAAACCTCAACTAAACCCCACTACACATATTTGACCTGTTGAGCATCCAGACTGCTCTCAGGTAAAAGCAAGATACAAGATGGGACATAAAACATACTCTTCATTCCACAGAAAAAATGGACACAAATAACTTCCCTAGCTAAACCATATATAACAGCGGCATCTCAGGATCTGAATGAAAAGATGGGATGGTAGAAAACATACGTATTTTTTCATGAGATACAAACAAACTTTCAGTGGAGTCAACCACTGAACATTTAATTTTTAACTTCACATGGCAGTTTGCAGTAGTAAAATTATTTCAGCCACCTTTTAGGTTCAGTTGTAACTTGACATGTAGGAACTTATTCCTAATCTTTCAAAGAATGGTATAAAAGACAAGGAAGATTTTTCTTGAGGATATCAAAGGTGATCAGTCACAATGAGAGAAACTTGCACACTCAGCAGGACTGCTATCCTTACTGTCAGATTGGCCTTCATGGACTGATTCAGCTGGAGTGCTGGGATGTAGTTGGCACGCTGCAGATGGTGGACCAAGAGGAATTCATGATTCTGAACACCAGCTTTGGTCTGTAAAAACTTCTCCAAACACTCCTGTGAGAAATGACACGTTTCAAACATTGATTACCATTCTGCCTCTTCTCTTGCCAAAGAGACAATTCAGATTTTTTTGTTTCTTCTCCAAACTCACTTTTTCTGTGTCTGTGAAGGGCAGCTTCAGCAAATCCTCCATCAGCCCCATCTCCTGACAGATTTCATACATGTGCTTGAGCAGCTCTTCTATGTTTAACTTGGTGGTGTGCTGCTGCAACAGACCCCAAGCCTCCACCATGCACCTGCAGTTAAGGACATGGAAAGGAATGGGAACGCCGAAGCCAAAAAGATGCCCCACAGTGATGGTATTCATTCAAGGCTCAAAGGCAATGGAGGGGAGCCCCACTTGTGTCATCAGTTCTCCACATTTCCCAATATGTGAATGCCAAAACAGTGGGAGATTTCCTTACCTATTGGACAGCAACACGGTGAGGAAGAGCCGCACTTCACTGCTGCTGGACATCGACGGCTTCATCATCTGCATGTACCTGAGGGCTCTCCTGTGCTCCCCCTGGCACATGAGGGACTGAATTATCCTCATGTGTTGCCATGACACAGTCTTGATTGTAGCTGGATGGAAGAGCAGGGCCAGGGAATTCTGCACAAGTTGAGAGCAGCTTCATTACCATAGATACACACACCCATGCAACAAAAAGTCAAAACTTTCTGCAGCAAGGCTGGACGTGGGCTAGACCAACTTAGATATCTAAATAACAAAATACTTGATCCAGGACATATCAGTAAAAATTCTTCAGCATTTGCAGGAAAAAAAAAAATCAACCATACAACTGTGAATGTCTTAAAAGGAACAATTCAGATTTTTCTAAGTTCATGAAACTCTGTGTACAAACATTCCTTTTAATAAATGCATTACTAAATAATAAGTTACTAGACAATCAAATTGATTCTATTTGTATAGTGACAAGTAAAGAACAACCTAAAGCATTAGGAAGAACAGGTTGAAAAGTCACGCCTGCAGTCTTTTATCTCAAATGTTCCTGCCACTGTAACAGTTTCCATGCTTCAAGTACCCAAAATACTCTTTTAGAAACAATGCCCCACCAGTCTGCTAAAAACCTCCTGAAACAGGAAATGCTTTGAAAATTCAAATGTTAAGCATTATGTTGATTATGCCATTGTTTTAATAAATTTCTTCTAACTCAACTGTTTCATACTTACTTCATAATCATTGTGATCTAGGAGCCAAAAGCCTTGAATCAGCTTAACAAGACCCCAAGGGATAGCAAAGGCAGTTGGAAAGGAGTCAATTGAAGTCTCTGTTTTATTTGGAGAGGAATGCATAATATCCAGCAGCAAGTAAATTGTCTGAGAGTGTCTAACTAAGGTAAATAAATTGCTAAGATAAAAACTTGTATCACATTACATTTGGCAAAACAATGAAATAAGAACATGAAAATAGTAGAAAGCAGAACAGCCCAAGGTACTGATCTTGCCATTTTAAGCTATTACAACCCATTATATCAATAGTCAGGTCCTAATCACAGAACTGTATTCTGAATATACTTCCAGAAAGAAACACTTGTGGATTTCTGGAAGGCAGTCAAAAAGGCAGATATTGGGTGTTTTTATACTGCTGTTATAAACTCAGGATCCTGCTTCCATCACTGAAGCTACCAGTTGCACACTCAACACACTTCAACATCCAATGCTTAATTATGAATGAAAACAAGCTCTACAGCTGTTTTGTTTTCCTCATTTCCTGTCTTCACAAAACCAACACAAATTATGGTGCCCTTACAATGCAACTCAGCACTGCCTGATTGCAACTGTGTTCAAACTGCATGTGGATCCCGCACTCAAAGTGTCATCTTCCCTTTCCGACATCCCATGTTAGGGACATGTCTCAGTAAGGCAGTTTGGGGCTACAACCATTTTTAATCTTTTGCTCGCCAGGCTCCCTTCCTGATTTAGCCAAAAAAGGCAAGTCTGCATGGTCCAGCAGCGTAAAACTTAGGCTTCAGCCCCATGACTGTTCTCAACCCCCTCTTTATTATTCTGTGTGCTTGTACTTTTTACACAAAAAAAGCAAACACTGTTAACTAGGCTGGGAAACAAATGATTTTGGCAAAACTCAGCTATTGGAAAACCACTGTTACAAACCCTTTTGTTCTGAAGCAGCATATTTACGGCACTTTTCTAACACACGGTCTTTTGCCACAGAACAGTGTGCTTTAAAACTTGAAAAACATTACATTTTGAGAGAAACTAAGAAAGGTTTTTCTCTTGAATATTTTAGGGAATCTGTTTTCTTGTATCAGGAAAGAATCTGCAAAAAAATCATATAGGTGACAAGCATGTAAGAACATTTATGTTCTTATTAAGGAAGGAGAAATAACAGAATCTGGAAAGGATACAATTGCATGTTTGTCGCTCTCTTCAATGCTTTCTAGCAAATAGAGATCCAGCAGTGCCTGAAATGAAAGAAAAAAAGGTTTTCTGATGCTCCTGTCTTTCACAATCAATGGCTTTAGGGGACTGCTGCTGCTTCTGCTGGGGTTTTCAGTGAACAGAACACTCACATGTAAACTAACAGGTGGGTATTTCCCAGTGCCGCCTTCATCCCTCTGCCACAACTTCTCCACTTCCTCTCCCAACTGGGAAACCATTCCATCAATCAGCAAGCAATCAGAATCCCATTTGCCTCTGTAACAAAAGGGAGCAAGGGCTTGCACAGTGTAGAACACTCATTCCAGCCTCCCAGGGTCAGATTTTGGAGTCAGAGGAATCATGGTCCTTAGCTCACAATGAACTTATTCATTAAGGAGTCCAAAGCACAAACCCAAGAGAAAAGCTGCAATGACCTTTTGGGTTCCAGGCTTGCTTTCTTGCTCTGTTATGTGTAATGCCAAGGAGTGCAGACAAAGGGTTTTAACTGCAAAAATAACCACTCTCACACAGTTTAACAGTGTGAATTCCTTCTAGAGAATCCTCTAAGTCTTACCTTGATAAGCGCTCGAGTTTCTCTCGGTGACCTGTATAGTAGCTCTGAATCAAAGGGTAATCATAGAAAGGTCTGGACAAATGGACGTGATCCTCTACAGGTGATAAAGTAAAAGCAAGTTAAAGAAGTAAGACCATGTTTTTCAACTAAAACTTTGGTCTACACACACAGAAATCACACAACCTCAAGAAGCCTCCAACTCTCAAAGAATCCAATCCAATCCAATCCGCCTTTGCTAAAGGAGAACTAAGACAAAAATACTATTGCTGCAAACTGCAAAACTCCAACCACCTCCTGTCTCATGATCAGTTTCACGTTTGTCCTTGATGCAACATTAAGAGCATGTAGGGTAAGTTCAAGGCTACTCCTAAATAAACAACTTTCAAAAGGAATGATTTTTTGAACATGTGAGCCTCTGTAAAACGACGAAAGCTGAAAATGGAGTGCATAGGGTGTCTCAATTAAGAGCATTTCCAAGGTGTACTTTCACTTCGAGCAATAAATCAAAGGTTCAAAACATGCAGGTACTGCTTTTACTATCAAAACAAGTGTACTGGTACTACAGGTTCTACTTACCTAAACTCTCGGGAAGGAGATTGGACCGACAGAACCAGATCACCACTTGTGCATACAAAGAAATGAGGCTGGTTACCATCTGCTTATTTGTCAAGTCTGAAAAACCTGAAAACAAGGCAAAACATTATTTGAGTACTGAAATTCCATTCATTTTACAAAACTCCCTTTGCAGAACAAATAGAAAGTATGAACAAACACAGTAGAAACCTGTCTTTGTAGTCGTCCCTCTGGATCACTTATGAATTTGAAGGAAAAAACCACCATTCACCCCACCAAAAAAAACCCCAATTGCTACAAAGAAACAGAATCACTAAAGATTAAAATTGAAAAATAAAGCCAAAACTATTAGATATACTCAGGAAGACAATGTTTGTTTTCCATGTAGCAGAGATTTTTACTTTAGCAAAAGAGACCATAGTCCGCTTTTTCCCTCAATATGCCAACAACAATTTATAAAATCAGAAGCCAAAAGAACTCAAGGAACTTCCTTTACATGTTACACATTTCAGCTTCTATTGTATTTCCCAGCAATCTGCACATAACTATCAACTGCTAGCTAACATTTAGGAACACTTCTCAGCATTACCACACTCAGGTGCTGTAAATGCCACCCAGATTCTCACTCAGCTCAGAGCTGAACCAGTGCAGCTGAACCTCCCCTACCCAGCCTCATGAACTCCACAACAAGCTGCTCCTCCGAACTCAAAGCAGCTTAAATCAAAGTCCCAGCTTCTTAGATTTAAGCCTCTCCTCCCAGCTCAACCCAACTCTCCCCAACCATCCAAAACAACAAGGGCTCCTGTTACAACCCAAGCATCCTTCCAAATCTTAACAATCAGACCAAAGGCCCAGCAGTGCTCTCACCAACCTTTCTCAGTCAGCTCTCGGGCTTCTGTTAGAAAACAGTTCAGGACTGTGCTGAGGTTGCTCAGCAGCAGCTGGCAGTGCTGAAGGGACTGTAATGTCTGTGGGTCAATGAAGTTGCAGGAGCCGTCAAACAGCGGAACACCTGGTCAAGGAGAAATATTAAATCACCACTCAGCAGAGCAACTGCACACTTCCAAACTTAAACACTTCAACAACCACAAGAGACTTAAAGAACCAGCAGCATACTCTGGCAGATTACTCAAGAAGATCCTTTACAAAGAATACAGGTGCTGGCTTCAAAAACCACCACACCACTACTCACATATTTGGTCCAGTTCATCTTTTGTACAGATCACTTTGTTCCACGTCCACTCCAGAACAAACCGTAAATTTACAGCAGAACTTGGCTGCTCTTTAAAAACACAAAACAAAATGGACATGAAACCACAATTTCCAGCCAAAACAGACACAACATAAAAACAATGGAAGCAGCATTACCTTCACAAGTCCAGTGTTTAATGCATCCCGTCAGAAGTTCTAAAGAACCAGTTTGCACAGCAGCTGACAACACTGCTTCTAACTGCTCCTCCTGAACAGAACAGACAAAAGCAAATCACAACCTCACAGACTTTCCCTCCAAGTCTCACCTTGATCAACACTGCAGTTTCTCTCGGTGACCTGTAGAATAGCTCTGAAGCACAAACTACCTGAGCCACTCTCAGAAGTGTTTGCTTCTAACTGGATACCCATTCAGACAGCAGTTGCAAATGCAACTCATTCCATATTCTTGATTCTTTCTTAATTCTAGTCACAGGCTGGACTGCTTGCAGGAATGTTTTCCTCTGACATTTCAACTTCACTCAGGCTAGTTTCAATCTCTATTTCTGTGCCTCAGGCTTTCAGTCTTCATTTACTGAAGCCCAATTAACTATTTTCAGGAACATCCTCTGCTAATACCCATGATGCACTCTGGGCACACCCCTTTGCCATCAGGAACACGTGAAGGGGACAGAGCAAACACCAAACCACCACTGTGTTTGCATGGAAACAGTGAAGCTGAGGCCAAGCAGCTCCTGGGACTAGCAAGACAGGAAGCAGCTTTGACAGCTAAAACATGAAGTTACAATTTGTTAAAGTACCATAAAGAAGTGAAACATTTCCGTTCTAATAGGCTGAGTTTCAGACTGTTCAATTACTGTATTCTAATGCCGTGGCAGTCCAGAGAAGGATAATGCACAGGCATGCACACACATGGGAAATAATGCAGCAGCTTATTCAAGCTCAGACATTTCTTTCAGGTGAAATGATCCTGCATAGATTTTTCTTTTTTTTCCTTGGCTCTCATTTTTCTAAAACATGTTCAAAAATATGGTTGCTTTCTAAGTTAAATTAATACGTTCAAAGACATTTCTACACATTCTGTCATTTAAAAGTATGTGTTATACTACCATCTTTTTCTGAAATCTGGTTCCATATAAAGAAACATACCAAATACTGCTTAGGGTGGCCAATGAAATTCAAAACCAAGCTTCTTGACCTAATTCTGAAATTTCTATTTCTAGCATCCAAATGCAATTCCTGCTCAAATGCATAAAAAGTCTCTGAACAATATAGTCACAATTCAGCAAATGTCATAAAATTTCTTGCTTTCCCAAGTTACTTCCCAACCAGATTTTACATCAGAATATCTAATCAGAATGTAAGAGCCAACATCAGGCTTGCAAAATAAGCATTCTGTGGGCTGGGTCAGCTTGCCAACAGGGTTCTTCCCAGCAAAAGTCAGAGTTTGGATCCAAGAATATTATCTTTTCTCCTAAATAATGTCAACACCTGCTTCTCAGAGCAGCCTGCAAGAAAAACTCAGATGGTCATGTCTTGTAGCCTCTACAGCCTGCAGACAAGATGGATGTATTTCCCCTTGGATTCCCCAGTGTACACCCACCTGACTCAGACTGGATGGCTGGACATCAACCAGTCTTGGAGACAGCAAGCCAGCGACAAGACACCGAGTGTAGCTGTCACGAATGGCTTCACTTATTAAAGGACCAGATTTCTTCAAAAACTTCAGGGTCTGGAACATCAATCAAAACACACAGGTTAAGACAGCATTCAATCACTAAGTTTCTGCCTTAAAAACAACAGCCCAACTAATGGTTTCAATTTAAAAAAAAATACCCTGTAGAAGAAAATACCACCCCTTGTAATGCTAAAGGAAGTATTTTCCAGCCTGTCTGTCAATACACAGGCCCTGGAATTTTCCCTGACACAAATTACATTCCGTGAAAGTTAAACTTAACACACAACTTTAAATCACACTTCTGTGCTTGTTTGTGCCAAAGCTGATTCACATTACAATATTTAGTGAGCTGGAACTTAATTTGAAAGTGCTTGCCCTAAACTGTGCACTGGCTCAGAAATTATAATTTGGCCAAGGCTGAGAGAAAAAACATGCATTTCTTCCTCAACAGTTACATCACTTCTCCCTTTCTCCACACTGTCCTCCTTTCTCAACTTCATCAGGGATCAAAACCCTAACTCCACACTATACAAAGAAGTCAACACTTTACTTCCACCAACTCATCCTGCCTACTACAGCAGTGCTGCAATTCCTTTCTAGCCATTCAATCCCTGCTCATGCCTCCCTAGAACAGAGCCATGAAACTGGCAGGATATGACTGCATCAGGTGGTCTCTGCCACTCAAAGCACTGCAAGGGAAAAGTTAGAAAAGGTTCATCTCTTGACACTCTCTCAATACAGTAAAAACAGTCACCTCCTTCTGGAAGCCCGTGCAAGTCATGTGAACAACTCCCGAGTTGAGCAAGCACGTCACATCTGCAGAAACAAGGAACATTTGACAGACCTTGTTACCTCATCACCACTTTATGCTTTTTAAATTGTGCTCTCTGCAAAGACAAACCTCCAGCACCTCCCTTTTCCTTCATCACATCACTTACACACGTCCCATAAAAAGGAGTTACTCTCTCTCTCTCTCTCTCCTTGGAAACTTAAGCTTGAGTGCTACCCAGGTGCTGTGCTTTGGGCCTCAGCTCAAAGGCATTTCATTTTGTGACCATCACCCCTTCCCAGGCTATATTACACAAGCCCCAAAACCCAAAACTCAGCTGCCTCTCAGATATGTTTCACAAGACTAAGTACCTTGTCAGGTACTTAGGTATCCAGGTAACCAGGTTGGAGAAGGTTTGTGGGGCTTTTCTGATTTGGTTTTTGTGTGACAAACAATGAACAAGAAAAAGAACCACTGGCATTTGACCTCCACCAAAGCTTGCCACTATTCAGATGAAAAGCAGTGAAATACTCACCAAAATTATAGGTGCTTGGATTAAAAAACTGTTCAGGTGGTGGATAAGAAGGAGGAACCCCCCGACTTAGACTACGCTCGTGTACCAGAATATCCAAAATGAGGTTTGGAGAAGTCATGCTTATTACAGGATCCAGTGACCACAGTGCAAAATAGGGGCAATCATGAAGCAATTCTTCTGGCCTTAAAGAGAGCAAGTGCATAAGCTCAACAGCAATTTTCAAATTAAGACTTTGTAGGGATATTGAAAACCACTTGATTAAAACCTACCTCAGTGAGTCTGGCATTTGGGCGTGATACCAGCGATTGATGTCAAACACTCCCAAATGAACAGATGGTTTTTCTTGACCATAGGTATTCACTTGCCAACTGAAGATTGATACACTGGTGTCAGGAGAGATTACTGTCAAAGACAAGATATTGTTTCTTGATGCAGAAAATATGAGATATTTGCTGTTATTTCATTCATTAAATACAACACTTTACTAGGAATGATTAAAAAAAAATATGAAATAGCAACCATTTCTGCAACAGGCTTCAGTGCCTCTTTTTCTTATTCAAATTATATTTGTTTTAATCAAAATCAAATACACAATTATTAATTAAGTTTTGTATGCTGTATGAATAATTATTTTGGGGTTTTGGGGTTTTTTGATGTGGTATGGTGGCTTATATTCAGCCAGCTGTTATGTAGGACACCTTGGTACTTTTCCACCAGGCATATTTCCAGACACTTTTCCCCAAGCTTGTAGCATTGCAAGAGGTGTTTGAACCTACTACAATTGGCCTCAGTCCATCGACCCAGCCTGTGCAGATCCCTCTGCACAGCCTTCCTACCCTCCAGCAGATCAACATTCTTGCCCAAGATGGTGTTGTCCCAGACTTACTGAGGGTGCACTCGATCCCCTCAATCAGAGCATTGATGAAGATATTTCATAGGACTAACCCCAGTTCTGAGCCCTGTGGAACTAGATTCACTGCATGCACACTGGATGCAGCCAGAGGTTTGAGCAGGATAAAAAATTTCAGGTTAACACTCCTAAGCAATAGACTAAGCAATAGAATGATCTTACTGTTCAATGCAGACAACTGGCAGAACAAACTGACTGACCGGCCTTATACTGATGACCCCATACACTGCTCTAGCATCACAGCAAACATAAAATAAAACCTGCTTTTTCCCTTCAAGAATCATGTTCAGAGGGATAGGAAGCACACAGGTTTTTTTAATAAGCCCAACAAGGTCAGTGAGACAAATATTTAAGACTTTAAGACTGTGGGTATAGAACAGCATTCATTGCTTAGATTTCCAAGCCATGTAGTTCAGAAAAACCAAGCAGGGACATCAGAACAAACCTTCATTAACGCTGTCCTCTCTGTCTGCATGGTTGTGAAATTTTTCTATGGTCTGAAAGCTGAGGAATTTAGTATTGCTGGTCTGCCCTCTCAAGGGAAAGATTCCACCACTGAGATCTAAACTGAAGAGTTTGACACAGCATGTAAATCCCTGGGGAAAAAAAAACGAAGAGAAGAATAATAATTTTGAAACAACAACATACATTATACCCAAGTATGAATTAATGCAAATATCTGATATAATATGCTTATTTTACCGTATGTTTCCCATCAATAGGAATTACATCTGACATGCAAAAGAATTAAGTGTCAAGTCATAATGGGCAAGTTTGCCTCTAAAGGCTTTTACACCTTTTCAAAATTTAGCATTTCCCTAACATTAGTCTAGATCTAAACATGTTTTGCAGAATTCCTTGCATCATGAAAGCGTCTTTACAAACCTGAACGGATACTTACAAAGAGACATCTAAAACAATGCAACACATCTTCACACAAAGCTTTTGTTCCATGTTTTGATTAGATATTAGACATCCATGTTTTAACCTGACATTAGAGAAGCTAAAGGCCTGTCACGAGATGTTAGAGTGAACATTCATCTCTCTAGTAACAATGAGAACTTCCTAGACATTTAAAACCTTCTTTCAAACCACATGAGCTCTCATCGGGGAAATATCCCTCAATACTTATGGAGAGGACATGGGATGAACATGGACAATGTGTTTAAGACTCCAAATTACCACAGAGCAAGCAGACTTCTTTGAGATACACAGAAATAAACACACAGAAAGGATGGCCCTGAACCTCTGCCACCACCATTTTGTAAGGAAGCATTAAGTGAAATACTGTCTTTCCAGTACAGCCTTCATTTAACCTCTCTACCATACAACACATGAATGTGTGTGTATTGTGGACAAACAGCAGCTCTGCAATAAAAACAAAACACCAAACTAAAAAAACCAGCAAACCACTTCCAAACAAAAAATGAGTTTCCAAAACTTTCAGAGATCTAAAATGAACTGGCATGAAACAACACATTCTCATCCTATACATTTAATTCATCTAATCTAGAAGAGACAAGATTTCTCTTAATGGTTCCAGGAAATGCTACAAATAAATATCAAAGGTGTCTAAAAAGAAATTAATAGATTAAAAAGTCTTTCATTACTGAAATTTGTCCTGAAACATGCAAACTCTATTCTATTTTATTCAGGAATTTTGGAAATAACAGATACACATGCAGAGTAGTTAAGAAAAATCAAAACCATCTCCTTGAAAAACTAACATGAAGCCTAAGCAAAGAATCTCATCTTATAAAATGACTAAAGATATAATCAATTTTAATAAAAAATGCAGAGCTGAACAAGATGTCCACCATACCAAGGGACAGTTCTGTAAGAAAAACCACTATAATTCCATAAACTCGTCAGGTATTCATTTTAATTACTAGAAATTTCAGCTTTCACTCATACACAAAGAGCCAACTTAACTGATACTCAGGGGAACTTTATGTTTTCATCTCTCACATACAAGCCTGTCTTACCTCATACATGACTTGTCCTGATGCCAGACATTTCCTGTCACCAAATGCTAACTGCAAGAGATGTAAATTCACAGCATTCCCTTCACTGAAAAAGGTATAAATGAGGACATTTGCTTACAAAGCTGCTTTAGAATCCTCATTATCATTTTATTAGATCTAGGCTGAAACTAACTTAAGAGCTGCTCTTGCTAAAAAGATAAACACTGCTTCCCAAAACATGGTAATTGGTCACACTTAGCCAGTAAAACATAAAGGAGGAAATTTTGACACAAACAGCTTCAGGGGAAAATGCTAACTATGCCTTTGTTTGGAAAGCTTTAATATGCAGCATGGACCTAAAATTGCTGGAAATAGCTTTTCACAGTAAAGCATTCTCCAAGAAAACTGTTTTGAAGTCAAGCTCAAGAAGACTGCCAGTCTGTGAACAGCTGGGCTAAGGAGTTTGCTGATTCTGAGAGAGAGAGAGGTATGTTTGTCCCCTTCCCACCCAAGTTCCAGTCCCTCTCTTGCATGCACCCTTCTACACTCTGACTTATTCCTTATCCCAGCTGGAAGCCATCGATTTGTTTGCTGAACACTGCTCCTTTTCTGCCAGGGAAGCTGAACTGGCACACAAGGATTCCAAAGAATTCTGAAGCTCTCATGAATCAACCAGCAATACTGTCATCATCCTCTTTTAGGGACAACTCTATGTGAACAAATATTAAACTTTAAAAAAAAGCAAAATCAATGGCTTATTGTAATTTTTATTCACCTTTGTTGTGTAGACTGAACAGCCCACAAGTAGCAACAATTTTGAAGATCATTCTCAGGCTCTTGAAAAGTAAGGGCACAGACAGGAATCCTTCCTCCTCCAAGATGAGTGTAGTGCCTACAGGTTTGAAAACAAAATAGAAAAGACAAATAATGGAGGCAAGCAAGCGACTACCTTTTATGCAGCAGTCAAGGTGAGGAGATTTCTGTCCGTCAAAGCAATAACCTCTATTTATGTCCTCCTCTGCCTGAGGAGGAGGAACAGAAATTATTAGTTCAGCTGCTAGGGAAAACACTATTGTTGAAGCCTACTTCAAAATTGAACTTAAAATGCAGTAAGTCTGAACATATTTAAAAAAAAACATCAAGCAGAAGGAGCTTCTAATTTCTTTACTTGGGCACTGTAACAAACGTTTCTTTCAGACTTCTGAACCTTAGTTGTAACTTCACAACCTTTTCCTGACACCTAATTATGCCTCCACCATTTATGTATCAATAATTATGGTGAATAACTGCAGATTTGCTAAAGTAAATCCCTATCTGAATTTCACCATGTATTTAAAGTGACATTGCTCTTCAGCAGATTTTAAATAATTTCTTCATTTTACTATTGTTTATAAATATATATGCTCCTTATTCTCATCTCCAAGGCTTCCAGGGAAAAACTGGTTCATGTACATCAATGCCTTGGAACAGGTCTTGCACCAAGGCTAAAATGTAGGAAAAAATATGCTTTCAGGCACAGATCAGCTACTGAATTATCATGTCTCACTAGTTTCATCCCGGTCCCTTAACAATATATATAATCACCAAAATCATATTATTCATACACTGAAGCCTTTCAGTGCATGCCCTCATTGTAGTAACTGGTTCTGAAAAATAATTTCTAAAACCTGTCTCATGGAAAAACACACATTGCCTTGTTTCACTGAATATGACTGGACAGAACAAACTGACTTATAAAAATCAGATCTCTCACATCCCTACTGCCTGACATGACCCAGTACTTTCCACAAGACCTCTATGCACAGGCACGATAAAAACTCAATTGCAGTCCACTGCAGAGAAGGTGCTGTACTTAATCCATGTGTGAGTTAATAGTTACTTCAGAAGAGGATTTCTGAACACTCCAAGGTTATACCCAACATCTCACTCAAAGAAAAAGGGCTCTTAAAATTAATATAATTCCTGAAGCAGAAAAATTGAGATCCCTGCACCTCCAAGCATGGCCAAGTGGAAAGGACTACTTACGCCCTCTTCAAAGTTTTCATGTTCCCCAGTGACAAGTAGCCATCAGAAAACCCCACAACGAGCTGGTTGCTTCTGCTTATGTAGCACAGGGTTGACACTGCTGTTCCTGAAGGACTTCGTAACTGAAAACAGAGATGCCTCCCTTCCCTGGTCACAGCTTCTCTTCTTTGTGGAACTTCAGCAGGAATTCTAGCTCTAGTCATACAGGTTAGGAAGACTTGATCTCAAAATAATCATACTTTAAAAAGTTTGTGCTCACCAGGAAGCATAAACATACAGCAGAAGTTAAGAATTAGAAAGGATTTCAGCACTCTATCCCAATAGCTCCCAAGAGCTAAGATTTTGTTTTAGATGCAGTTTGGTTTTTCTTTAAGTGAGAAAACAAAACCAGCACAAATCAGAATTAGCACAAATTTACACAGCTATCTGCTGTGGCTCATTTGGAATGACTCTTGTTTCATTAAAGAGTTGCAGCCTGTCTAACATAGCTAAGCAAGCCGAAGTTCCTAAAGTCTGTGCGGAGTCAATGATTGTCTCTACATTGCTTCCTTTACCTGGGCAGACAGACATAAGTGCCAAAGGGCACAGAACACAGCAGTGAGCAATTTCACTGCTTGTCCCTCCCAGTACAAGTTCTACAATCTTGGCTTTATAACACAATTCTAGAATGGCCTTCTGGAACCACTGGCAGTCATCTCATCCAACTGCCCTGCTGCTCCAGCCACCACCTAGAGCAGGCTGCCCAAGGCTGTATCCACATGGATTTGGAACACTTAATTCTCCAGCAGGTTTTTACAACCAGCAACCTGACAAGATCAAGTGCAGAAACACCTGCAACCCATGCAGCAGGGCCTGCTGTTCGGTGACTCTCTCCTGCCAGTTTAAGGACTCTGTTCTCTCCAGCACACCAGCGTCACACCGGAAAGACCTGTCACCACTGTTTCTCCAAAACGATGTCTGACACCTTAATTCCCAGAGCAGCAAGTCAGGCAATCCTTGGCTGCCAGGCAGCACGGCCTCCGGCAGAGCCCCGCAGCCGCAGCCCGGCTAAGCAGCAGCCATGTTGTTGCGAGGCCCGTGCGGGGCGCAGCCCCCGCCTCTACCGGCAGGGCCGGCCCGGGAGAGCCGCTGGGGGCTGCTCCCAGAAACAACGTGTCCGTCACCGGCAGCTGGGCACCCCGGGGTCTGCGAGTCACCAGGACGGAGGATACTAAACTCTGGGAGCATCCAGAGGGGAAAAAAGATGGGCCTACGGGGGAAGATGTATGAGCAGTGGCTGAGGTTTCTTGGTCTGATCAGCCTGGAGGGGACTGAGGGGAGCCCTCACTGCAGCTACGCCTTCCTTGTGAGAGAAGAGGAGGGGCAGGCACCGATCTGTTCTCTGTGGTACCCAGCGACCGGACCAGAGGGAATGGTCTGAAGTTATGTCAGGGGAAGTTTAGGTTGGGTATTACAAAAAGTTTCCTCACCCAGAGGGTGGCTGGGCACTGGAACAGCCTCCCCAACTAAGTG